TAGCCTGTAGAAAATACGTCGGTGAGCCGAATGTCCAGTATAATTCGAAAGGCTTGTTTGGTTTGCGCAGTATATACGACTCTCGTATGTGAGTGCAAACATACATATATAGATACGGAGACAGGAACGCATATAGCGCATGACTTTTTTATACATATACATACGTCGTCGCTGCGACGCTTTTGTCATGCAATGCTATAGCACATAGCATATAGTATACGAGGCAATTTAATCCTGAAAGACATAGAGGGTGTGTATATGTGCCTCTGGCAAGCGAAGGACAACTTTTTGCATTAGCCACGCTATATTTCGAAAAGTTCGCTCTGTCGTCCCTCTCCTTCTCTCGCACTGCGGAGCGGAGCCAGGCCGCTCTGTAAAGGAGCAAGAGAGACGCAGAGAGTGGGAAATTTTTGAATCTTTCAGCCGAGCCAGTTGGCACGATAGCGCGCAAGCGAGCGAGCCGCTTAACTTTTAAAGGAGCAAGTTCGCGCCCTCCTGGCCTACGGCGAAGATGTGTACGGCGCTCGAGCGCTCTCTTTTCTATATACACGAGCCGCGCGCAACACCACCCTATCTGTGTCCACGATTACACTGGCCTTCTTATATTATCCTGCGCTTACGTTTAGATTGGCCACGAGATAGCCTGCAAGCTCTACTAAGCGCTAGACTTATAGCTCTTTTATGGTAAATTTTGGACTACTAACGCTTCTTTTTACTTTGCTTTAAGATCGATGTGGTCGCGGTGACACTATTGATTTAAATTGAGAGCATGATAGAATATGAACTATCTAAGCTGCTAATTTATACCCACTATAAATTTCAGATATTTTCATCATTTCGAACGGCACTTGTACCTCTAATTTCTTCATAAGTTTCGATCGAGCTTTCTTATGATAGTATCGGTGAAATCACAATTTGCTCCTTGAATACGCGTATAATTAATGATCAAATATTGGATGTTGAATTATACATTGACGGGCTACGTATGATACATATAAATTTCGCATAATTAATGAGCAGATAATACGTAGATTCTGTACGTCAAGTGGATCGATCAAATTTTCACGACATCTAAATGGATTGCGTGAAGGCCATTCGATATAACTTGAACGAGAAATATTGATCAGTACTTTGACACCGGAGTGACCTGCCTTTATGTACGCACATGTAACACCACAAACCATTATTATTTAAGGGTAAAGTCGTAAAAATTTAACTAGCTTTTGGCTCGCACGACGGGGCAAATTTATACGCATATATCAGACGAGGCTTTAATTAAAAATCGGCATATAAGCTCATATCCGCAGCTCTGCGCCTGCATACTCTTCGCACGGTAATTCAATTTTAAATACTTAATTATCATTGTGCAATTATATTTTTCAGAAAATATTTCTACTTTCATTGCAGCGGTATAAAAATTATTCGCATCTTTAAAAAGCTTTAAATTATACTTTTGATTCAGTTAATAAACATCTCTGAATGTATGTGGAATGTATACAATCCACTAGTATAATCGTAGTTGATCATTTAGAATTCTTTTTGAGCGCGGAAGTGTAAGCGATAATATTTCATCACATTGATATAATTAAATGAAAATTTTCTGGACTACTCTGTGAAATATTCCAATACGTGTAATTACTAAAGCTGTTTACAATGCTATGCGCTCAACATCAAGTGATTAATTATTAATTAACATATTATAATGCTGCATACGCATAGCAACAAACGCATTATCATGAAAATAGGGTGCGAAGCGTTAATGACTATGCGTGAACAATAATACGTATCACGAATCAAAGGTGAATACAGCGAATATAATCATGTGCGCAGAAGGGCGGTACAAAAAAGTAGGCGCAACGGAGCGTACGAACCCCGGGCACGTCGGATGAAGCGAATCTCTGAAAGAAAATGCGATCGCTCGAGGTTATCGCAGTTGCACGCGAGCTCACCATTGCTGAAAATAATAATATACCTAAATGCGCCCAGGCCGTTTCCCGAAGCGGGTTTGGGCTCGAGCTCGGGCGCGCGTGCAAGAGAGAGAGAGAGGGAGAAAGGGAGAGAATTAAGAGCGGCGCGGCGGGTGAGAGGTAAAAAGTTTTATCAGCCATAAAAGGCTCTCGGCAATAGGGCATCGCGCGCATACCTAGCACCAAGTGGCTGTATATAAGAGAATCGCAGCTGTTCGCACTCTGCCGAATTAACTCGCGCAAGGAAGTTTGCCGCTGGGAGTGCGCAAGAGTTTATATACATATACATGCACGTATGATTATGTTTAGCATGGCGCCCACCCGACTCGAGAGAGAGAGCAAGAGCTATGCAAGGGAGGAAGAGGGAAAGAGAAATAGACTCGGAGCTCGGGAGTCGTTGCCTACGCTATGCAGCTATACTACTGCGGAAAACGACTGCAATGAAACGGAGTGTAAAGTGACGATATGACGACGCTCTTTCCGAGAGATGGGAGGCTCCTTGCACGACGGTAAAAAGGTAAAAACGTTAGAAAATCGTTCGCGCACAAGCCACACGCCTGGATTACCGGCAGTGCACTTAATATAACGGCGACTTTTTCTTTTTTTCTGATAGTGCTGCAGCCGCTGCTGCTGCTTTATGGAACTACTTTTATATTATTGTCTCGCCACCACCGCCGACACCACCACCACCACCACCTCCACCACTACCAACAACCCCCATCATGCCGCACCATCGACGCAGCTGCAATAAACCGTTCGATAAGGTTCGATTTTTTATATACGGCCGCAATACCAAGTGCAGCAGCACGAGCTCGTCTTAATATTTTTTTCCCTCCGTTAGAGCGACTTTTTCACGGGGTGTTGATTGCCGGATACTTTCGTTTACGACTCAACAACTTGTGGAACACACTCAGGGGGCTTGATTTAATTAATTGAGAAAGTGTAGCCGTATACACGATACTCATGAAAATCGAGCTTACTTTCGGAAAAATGATGCCCTGCACGTGTTGCGGTAAAAAAAAACACAGAAAATAAGATGAAGAGATGATACGTGCATTAGGGGTATATACCTGCGAGCGCAAAGTATTGAACTTACTCATTGGATGGTTAGGGAAAAGTTTGCGAGGTTTGAACAAAGTTTCAAAGAAGATGAGGAATTTTCACGCTCGAGGTGCTTACAGTGGAAGTAGGAGTAGTATATCCATTGAGTTAATCATTTGATAGTGAATCTACTGTACTGATGTAAAATTTGAACAACTATCATGAGCTATCGAAACTTTTCAACTCAAATATTACGAGAAAAATTCACTCACCACTATTCGTCTTTTATGATCATGTTCACAAGGTATAAATGTAAGAAAACTCAAGCTAATTTTGAATATGTTTTTAAAACTTAGCTGATTGATTAATCACAAACGACGCAACATAAACTACCACTTGGATTTGATAAGCTAATGGTACCTTTTGCCTGAAATCTTTACAAATTAAAGCTAAGTGCTGGATCGAAGGAAGAGCGAGAGGTAGAGAGAGAGAGCGAAAGAGAGCTTCAACATTGGGACTTTGACAAAGTTCCTTTATCGCGGTGCCGTCCTCCCGTACAATTTTAAGAGGATTATTTCTGTTGTAAGTATCTTTTGCGATGAATGCGGAATCATATAATTCATACGGGAAATGCTTCAGGGCTGAAACTTTTAGTTAAAAAGATTTAAATGCGACAGATGACACATTTTTGTTTCGATCGCGGGGCTTTCAATTCACGGAAAAAGCTTTCACGTTTTTTTTAATTTTTATCTTATCGAAAAACGCCTGTCCATGAAAAGATGTTCAATATTCATTGATGAATGGAAGGAGCCTGAAAGCGGGTCTCGTTGCTGCCGTTAACATATATCAGTGCGTATATATTTAAGCGATGTTTATATGAATCATAAATATCTGTCGCGAGCTTTTAAATTCAGCGTTTAATGTCACGTATATATTCGCATCGTAGGTCATTACAGATGCACCTGTGCAGCCTTCAAGATCGTGAAATTTATTTTTTTTTTCAACAAAAATTATAAGCTGAAAAATATTTCACGTTAAATGAGGTACCTATTTTGGAACACTCGGATCATACTTAATCTTTTTATTAAAAAATGTATACATGTATATTCGTTGGTACGCGTTGCAAGAGAATTCAAATCGAGGATAAAATCACGATAATGCAGCTATTCGCAGTGTTCGTTATTTAAAAAAAATGTTATTTCGTTCAAAAAAGATCAATATCAAAATGGATCGCAATCTCGCTAGCAGCGACTTTTTCTCGGGGAATCGATAATTTACGTTGAATTAAGGTCTCACGTTTGTTAATTGCCTAGCTCATCAATTTATGATTATCAAGTATAACACACTCGTATGCGACGAAAATTTAATTACTATAGGAACAATGAACTTTCAAACGCTCATGAAAAGGTCCTTTACCTAGGCTGTAAAATCGACTATGCTACTGCTTTTACATTTGGAATATAAATTCACAAAAGTTTTCGAATAAATCACTATCCCTCTTTGTCGTATGATCTCAATAATTACCACAGATGAAAGAACAACCGGTACAGATTTGTTACTTATATTTGCTGATATACCATTAAAAAAAAAGGGATACTTTCTATCATGTGCGTTAAAATAACAAATTTATACAGTTTTTACGGAACTTAATCATATTTTTACCGATGGCTGCTCAACGTCCTTTAAGTCGATTGATGGTTTAAAGCTTCAATTTCTGTCGCTTATGCAAAGCTTGATCGAGTTATCCCTATTTACATGCAGAAAAGAAGAGTAAGGAAAAGGTAGAGTAGGAGAAAGAGAGAGAGAGAGAGAGAGAGAGAGGGGAGAAAAAGGGAGCCGAAAAAAGCATAATATCACCGACGAGGTTGTAATTCGACTTATTCCCCCGTGATTCAACTCTCTCAGACTGACTGTGTGAGTGCGCATCTACGTACGTGTACTTTCATGCATGTATGTATAGTGTACACGAATACAGTTCGCTAGTCCAATTACCTTCTGTGCATATGAAGAGTATGGCAGCAATGGTAAGCTTGGCATGCCATCTCAGAGCCATTTCCGCAGTCGATGTTCGTCGCCGTAATACTGAAGCACTTGTGTTTTCAATGGCTGAGGGTAGAAGCGTAAAAAAATCTCGTCAGCAACAGCGCACTTCACTGATTCGCCTTGTACTATTGAATGCCATATTTGCTGCACTTTTTTCACACTTACATAATTTCAGGCAAAAAAAGAGGGAAATAAAGACGCGTACATTCGTTTCTACTTTGTGCTCCTTCTTTGTCCATCTACTTGCGCAGGCAAGTATACGAGTCGGCTTCGTCACTCTTTCGACGAGTTAACGCGCGTACGGTTGTGCGCTCACGACGCAAAGGCTGAAATACATTCGAGATGCCGTAAACACGTGCAAGCAGCCATGTCGCTAGTTGCATCTGGTGTTGCTGGAATTACTGCTTCTGCGGCTGATTCCACCGCTGAGCCGCTGACTTTGCCTCGGTAACTTTTCTCGAGCATTTCGAGATAACCCAAGATAACCCGAGCATATCGTGCCACGACGGGGTGTCTGCATAGCAAAGCGAGACTCTTTAACCGGTCCGCGCTCTGCTGCTGATGCAGCGACGACGACGACGACGACGACGACGACGACGAGCTATCTCTTGAAAATGTATGTATGCAGTCGCGAGAACCGAGAAAGATGAGCCTTTTCAAGCGTATCTTCCGTCACTGCTAAGGCAAACAGCAGTGCGCGTTGTTTGCGATGAAAAATTTCTGAGCGTCAAACTGCAACTGCTGCCGCAACTTTTCTTTTTCCGTCACAACTGCGCTCGGCACCAAAACTCTTCGTCCGCGATTTACATGTGGTATATACAATACCTCGCACTACTTTATATATAATTTTTTTTTTCACTTTACGCGTTTAAGTCGCTCAAACTGAAAAGAAAACTTTGAAACTTGCACTGACAGTGACACTGGCGCGTTCATTAACTTCTCTCCGTTTGAACAACGAGCAACAACCACACATTCACCCGCGCACTAGCATCAGGTTCGTTAACTATTTACTTTTTTCCCGCAGTTTAGAACCGTACCCCTGCTGTGTATATATAAGCTCCGGCCCACGTGAGTTTTTGCGACAGCTTTAGCCGCGCTGAAAATGCAGAAAACCAACAGAGGAAAAAATAATCGTAAAGAGAGAGTAAAAAAACAGCGAGGGCAACAACGGGAGACAAAACCAAAGTCGGGCTGGCTTGATGCGCCAACAATTCACTCGCGCTCGAATGCAAAACAAATAGGGTGTACGCGCGCGATACACAGGTATAGGCGCGGAGAAAAATAGAAAGGATGCAGAGCAGTAGTAGCTGTGGCCAGTCTGTCACTCGGTCAGTTGATTGTTGTTATAGTTGCCTTCTGCCTGGCTGACGAAGTATAACCCTCTCTACACATGTATGCCAAATGAAAAGCTTTCAACACTCGCGAGCGCGTATCGATACCGAAACTGCCTCTCGATACACGTTTAGCGTATAGGCGGCTGACAATACACGCAACGACAACCAAAACATACAGACTGTGCAGCGAACTCAAAAAGATAGATGTGCGTCGATGGACGAGCAGCTGCAGCTCCGATTTGTAGCTTGACACATTGCACGCATCTTTTAAATATCCACACACACGTATGCACCACTTTAATTTATGTACATGCGTAAATCAATTTTTTTCCTCTTCTTTTTTACGAGCGCACTCCGGATCTGTGTACGTTTATGCGGGTGTGTGCACGTCCGCAAACGTACGAATGAAGACGGTTAGAGACGGAGTCGATGCACGCGTATGTAGGTGATACTCGAGGGCAGAGAAGAGAGAAAGAAAGAGAGAGACAGATAGGGAAGCGTGTCGGTATACAATAGCGGTATATAATACGGTATCGGAGCGGATGTGTGCAAAGTTTCGCGCGATGAGCCGAGCGAGCGCGCGCCGCGAGCACGTCTCGATCCGTTGGCAGATTTTCCCTGACTGGACTGATTCTTAACGCTTTGGGGAGCATGCGCGCTACCCTTTGCCGAGCGTCCGTACGAAGAGCGCGCGCGAGAGAGAGAGAGAGGGACGGAGAGACGGAGAGAGGGCGCGCGCACGAGCGCAGTACAGCCAGCCAGCCGCAGCGCGCGCGTTGCACGAGCAGCGAAAGAGAAGCATAACCAGGCGCCGTGGAGGCGCCGCTCGCGCGACCCCAAGGGTGGGGACCTAGCTCTCTGCTGCTCGCAGCTCGCTTGTCTCTGTCGCTCGCGCACGAGTGCACCAGCACACTGTGCCACCCCCGTGTCCCATCTCTCTCTCTCTTTCTCTCTTTCCTTCTTCGCAAGCACTGCACACGGCGCGTAGTACGTATAGCGCATCGAGCGCGTGCTGTGCGCTCGGCTATATACTTACCCCCAGCAACTGCAATTGCTGCTGCCACTGCTGCTGCTACTGCCGTGCCAACTCTTTGCACGCGCTGCACTAGCACTGTTACTTTCTATATATGCTTTACCGCTTTATCTTCGATATGCTATCTAGAGACCGAGCCGTCCGTGTTTTTTTTCCCTCTCGCTCTTGCAACACCACGAAATTTTCGTCCAATGATTGAAAATATGTTTGCTTGGATTTCCCGAGGAGCAATATCGGATTGCTCCTCCGTGTGTGTATGTTTGTGTTTACAGCGCACAATGCGTTTATACGCCGAGTGCTTGCATTGCGCACCACTTTGAGCCGGATCTGAAAGCGATTCGCGACAAGCTTATGAATTTACAATGCTTCGATTGACTTTTCATCACTGCGGCGTCGTCGTGAAATCAAAAATGAACGATAAACTAACTGGAATGTGCTTTTTATTACATCATAGAATTTGGAGGAAATAATTTATATTATTAGATGTACATAGCTATTGCTCGTTTCTTGATCTAGTGCAAGCGTGACTACAACTATTGTCAATGATAATTCGAAAAGTCTTGAGCCAACTCTTGTTTTCAAATTGTTTCTATCCTAGAAACATTTGTGCCATTTTTTTTCATGAAACAAAACTTTTTTCAACTTATCAAAGTTAGAATACTGGAAAAGCATGTCCAATAGAACAATAAATTGTTAGCATGAGGTTCGTCGTATCTGTTTCTTTATAAACTGTGCCTAATATAAATGCAGTTTTATATAAATGATGCATACATGTATCAATGCATGTACAATTGCATATTTCATTACGAGCCTACATAATCGTATACATTCATGAAAAGTATGTCTCGAAAAAAAAAGTTCGAGTTAAATTATAAACTACGATTAGGATTGCGTGGACACGAGTATGAGAAATAAATTATTTAAGCTCGCGAGCCGCAGTAAAACCTCAGTTTACCTATGTAAATATGTTGCAAATCGGCTGCCTCCACCAGTACGCATATATACCTATAATACATATATATATAACACGTACATAAATGTAAGGAGCAGTTCAGCTGCTTAAGGTGCGAACGAGCTAGTCTGTGCGTGTGCTTTTAGGTCGATAAATCCTTTGGCATTGTAATTAAGATTGCGTGCAAGAACGCGCCGCCCTTATGCTACCGACGGTCGCGCCAAGCTGCGTGCACAAGCGAGAGAATGTTTGACACAGTGTTTTCCGGAATCGTCTTTGAACCTGTTTACGTGAATTGAACGTAATGTCTTGTATTACTGATTAAGAAAATCCCAAAGGTGCATTTAACTTTTTAATTAAAACTGGTGGCTAAGATTTGCTGCAATTCTTGATATCCATTTATTCTTTACTTGTACTTTTCAATTGTAGCTGATTGCTTTACACGATGCAAAAAGTATATTAACTCATACAGAATGAACCATTGTACTTTTAAATTAATTAAATGATTTTGTTTAAATTTATAGGTCATTTAATAAAAAATAAAAAAGAAACTCACTTAATTCATAAAATTTTGAATTCATTCAAGTAAAAAAATGGTTCGTGAGATGTTGTCAAAAATCTGGGGTAGTCAGCTCATAGAGCATGCTTTTTTGAAAAAATAAAACCTCACACAAGTTGATATCTTCAAAATTCACAGAGAAACCCGGCGCAGGAGGCTAAAGTGGTTCAAAGCTCGTAGCCTGCATACGATAAAAGTTTTTTCCTCTTTTTTGTGTCTGTTTATAATGATATTACATGAATACTGCGCTTGCATATTTATATTGCAATTTCAAGCAAATTGGTGAAGAGCTCTCCTTGAGACACAGAAAATAATGGAGTACCAATATTTCATGTTTAATACTCTGAAATACTAATCAACTTTAAAATCAAAGGCGTGTAAATAAATCCATCTAAAACGATTAAACAATAAATAAGCAAATAAATAACAAATTTTTGTGTTTAGATTTGAGTAAATAAGATTGTTCTTCACATTCTCATTAATTCAAATATTTTAGATTTATATTTTCATCTGGGGACATCAATATTTTTATGGGAATTTTCTAAAGTAATCACATCAGTATAGACTACCAAAGTTATTTTCTAGGAATAACTAAGTTAATTAAAAATTCTTTAAAAAACAATGACGTGGCTTTAAATGACAGATACTAAGTTTAATAGAGTTTTTTATTATCTGAACTTTCTTGAAATTGATGTTATTTGAAGTAAAAGAAAAAATTCTCGGTATCAAACGGCGGCATTTCGTCAAAAGCTGAGTCATTATAATGCAAAAACGCAGACCATTCAACAAAGACGGAGAATAAATTTATCTTTTGGTAAGCAATTATAATATCTTGTGGTTAGAATCAGATGCATGCTTTTGTCTATTCCCTCTCCTGCATAGCGCGAGCTTTAACACAAAAAAATTTCCTATGCACAGCAGTAGCAACTTCGAGCCAGCGCGACGCGGAGCAAAACAAGCTAATGAACTTATCCAACTGTCTCGGAGCACCAGAGCTTGTCAGACAGCCAGCTAGAGCAAGAGCAAAGCAGAACTGCGCGGGGGAGAAAGAGAGAGAGAGAGAGAAGACAAAGAGAAATGGTAAGCGCCGAAGAGAAAAAAATATAGGAGAGTTAGATAAGGCAAAGAAGCCGAGAACGAATGCGATGAGGGTGAGAGCAGATCTTGAATAATTTCATTAGTAACAGTCTACCTTCTTTACTTTTTTCTTGTTTATTTTTCAGAGCAGGTAAGTGTTTAAAGATTTTATTTATTCGTTTTATCTAGCAGGTCAGACAAGACTTTTTTCTTCGATAAAAACACTCAAGTAGTAACAAAATTTATGAAGTTTCTACATCAAAGAGTCTCGATCGTCTTGACTTTAGTGATTGTGGCAAAATCAAATTGTGAATGAAAATCGCATTGCTTGAAAAAACAACCGTTTTGTTTTCTTTACTTTATACATTTCACAAATAAAAATCAATTTAACTACTTTACACTGTTAAATATATAGTATTGAAACCAATAGACTTCGAACAAGCTACTCTCTATAACCGGTAACATTTTGTAAAGGAATAAAAAGTTTGACGACAAAAATATGCATATAAAGTGAAGAGCATAGACGAAAACGTAGAGCTTAGTTAAAAAAAAATAAGAGAGAAGCATGAAAAGAAATCGGCTCGATCATTCTCATCGAAAACAGAATTCACGTGATGCGTTGGCCGTTTGCCAAACGCGAAGAGATCGTGGTTTGTCAGCGTGTGGTAGTGGTATGCGGCGCGCAAACTGCCGGAGATTGAGGTGAGCGCAGTTGTAGCAGAAAAAAGTAGAATATCAAAAAGTAAAACTCACACAAAGAAAAAAGTACATCTAATACAACGGTGCGCCACACAGTCAGTAACAGAAATGAGAGAGTATAGAGAGAAGGGTGAAAAAGCTCAGGAAGAAGTAGGGGAAGTGGCCGGCCAGAGGAGTGGGAGGAGAAGGAAAGTGAAAAAGAGTGAGAAAGCAGCGCAAGTAGCATGTAATAAAATGAAGGAGTTAAGAAGACCAGGCAGAGAAAGTTGCCATGGAAGCGTGTAAACATATAAATTTCGTGGCTATTTGAGAGAGAGGGAGCGAGGAAGAAGAGACTCGATATATGTAGATGCACACTTATATAGGTGACGAAGAAAAAGTGAAAAAAGGGCGCGGGGCTCGGGATAAAAGTTGGCACGGCTTCGCGGAGCTTTCCACCGTGCTTTATCTCGTCCGCTTCTCGAACTGCAATTTTGCGTACACTCGCGAATACTCATCGCCCGCTTTACTTCGTTTATGCAGCACGAGCCGAGAGCCGAGTGTGTTTCTCTTTATCATTCAAATGAAAATCTGTTTTCCACCGTACCGTTGCGTCATCGCTTCACAAACATATACAATAATTTTGAAACATGCAGAAAAAAGGAGGACTTCGTTAGAGAAGTTTTTTTTTGTGTACACATGTAGATCGCTGTGAGTAATCAATCTTTTGTCTTTATGCTCGTATTTGTGCCACGTGTAACTTTGTTATCCGTAAACTCTTACTCGATGGTTTTTCTTATCGACCATTCGCGTAGCTTTGTATGAGATTTTCAATTGTTGAAAATTCAGGAGTGCACTCTCTTTTCTTTTTTTCAAATCAATCAATTACGTTGGTTTTGAAATTCAAAAAATGTTGAAAATGAATAAAAATTGACTTTTTTAAAAACGAATAGTCGGAAAAAATTTTCCTTGTTTTTACCTAATCTTATGATAGCGCTAACAGATTAATTTGATTCTCAACTAAATTGCGTGCAAGTATGCATATCGCAGTTTCATAATAAGGGAATGTTTGTGGTGAGGCTGTGCGCGCGTTTATATTTGTAATTTCTGAACGTAATTGGACTTTTGAAAATCAGACCGTGGCATTTTCAGGTCAAGTACTCCATTCATACGCGGCCGTTGCAGCCTGTGTGTGTTGTAGAATGAACAATTTACTCACATAGGGCACTAGTCTATCGTAAACGCCGTCGGACAAAACACACTTTGCGCTCGTTGTGTACGCGCTCAGAC